GTGCAGGCACTACAAAGCTGTGCTTCGTGCATGCATACAAAGCACTACTCCGTGTAGGCACTACAAAGCCCTACTCCGTGCAGGTACCACAAAACCTTGCTCCGTGCAAGCATACAAAGCCCTATTCCGCGCAGGCACTACAAAACCTCGCTTGGCGCAATCACTACAAAGCCCTGCTCTGTAGGCACTACAAAGCCTTGCTCCGTGCAGGCACTACAAAGACCTGCTCTGCGCAGGCACTACAAAATTGTGTTTCGTGCATGCATATAAAGCCCTGCTCCGTGCAGGCACTACAAAACCTTGCTCAGCGCAAGCACAACAAATCCTTGCTTCGCAGGCACTACAAAGCCTTGCTCCGAGCAAGCACTCTAAGCTCTGCTCCGCGCATGCACCTCAAAGCCCTTTTTAAATCAATATAATGCTAAGTAAAAATCTCGACCACTTTGTATACCGAGCACCTCAAAACCCAACCTGCAGTCGAAATGGGGATCATGTCCTCGAGGGCCAAAGTCCTTGGGACATGTTTATTTTTGGCTCCAGTCCACATGATAAAGTCCCTATCCCAGGCCATCCCTTTGAAAAAACATACATAAAACATTGGTGCTCGAGACATTTGTCCTCGATAATAATACTCCTCGAGGTTTAGCAGATTTTAAATTATGCTCGAGACCATTTTCAAGGCTAATTAAACTTTGACACTCCTCGAGGTGTAAAACCCCCCGAGGACTTCCATATGCATAGTCATCATATTTCTTGAAACAAAGTGATCGATGTATATTGGTCCTCGAGAATAGTGATTGAGATCGGGCACATCATTTACCGTAAAAATTTAACACGGTACAAAAGCTCGTTCATTACTAACATCACAATCCTCGAGAAAAATACTTCGATTCCATTGTCAAAAATTAAAAACAGAAAGATCAGGATACAAAGGATCGGGTGGGAGATGCTTAGCCTATACGCCCCAAAGGGAGATCGAGGTTCGTAATATCGATCTCATCATCTGCATCCTCAGCCTCTTCCCCCTCCATGCCATCGTCGTCCTCATCCGCTCTTCCATCGTCAGACTCTGATAGCTCGAGAGTATTAGCAATGAAGGGCATTGTCTTCAGGTCCTCAGGGCGAACGTCGGGCAACTTTGTGCGAAGGAAAGCTCGGGCCTCCTTAAAAGCATGAAGGTAGGCGCCTGAGGTGTACTCGCCCTTGATTCTATCGCTGTCCTTGGACGTCTTGAATTCTTCCCAAGCTCTCTACTTGGCCTCTGCGATCTTGTCTTCAAACTCTTTGGTCTTTTGCATTAGTTCGAGTTTAGCTTCCTCAACCTCGTCCTTTGCAGCCCTAACCTCATCCCTTAACTTTTCGTTGTCCCTATGAGCAGCCTCGCGATCCTTTAGCCAAGCCTCGTGCTTAGCCTCGGGCTCAGCAATCCTCTTGTCTTTAATGCTCGAGGACTCCATAATCTCAGCAATTCTCCTGGACTCCCCAAGCCCTTTCTGGGTGAGTCCTCGAGCAACACTCAAAGTCTGAAAGCAGTAAACCTCGAACATCATGATCAACACAGCAAACAAAAGAATTCAAAGTAAAAGTGTCGAGGATAACCTTCATGGTAAGGAGCTCGAGGGCCTTAACGCCCTTAGCAAGCTCAACGTCTTCTCTTGTATTTTGTGACAAGGCTCGGGACCAGGTGGCACCTCTCAAACTCCTCAGTAATTGAGGCCACCATAGGAACTGTGTCTTCCTTGAGATTAACAACTTCGGAGGGAGCTCGAGGAGTGATCCTGGGAGTTGGGGACCTTTGGCTTTGTTGGAACCTCGGGCTCGGTGGTTCTAGTTGAGGCCGTGATGTTTCACTAAGTCCCCTCGCCGTCTGCTCAAATTGGGGACCTCGAGGCCTCTTCTTGCCTTTCTTCTTCGCCTGGGGTTGGCCCTGAGGTTGGGCACTAGCCCTGGAATTTACAAAGTTACGCAATGCTCGAGGATCAAAAGACATTCCTGAAAGAAAAAAACAACACATTAGAACGAGCACAAGCTCGAGCTATTCCAAAAGAACATGGATAGTAGAGGTAAACCCTACCCTCGACACTTCTAATGTTTGCCAGATCTATCACTTCTTCCCCGATCTCTTTCATGCTCAAGAACAGAGGGTACAGCTCCACCAGCGTCATCCTATCTCGATCCAAATCATTTGGATACACTTCACCCTCACAAAACTTCTCGGCATCGGGGATTCCCCACTCGGGCCAGAAAGGAAAGTTAGGGTCTCGAGTTATGACATAGAACCAACCCGCCCGCCATCCCTTCAAGGAACTAGACATCCTTGGGGACCCTGAACCCTCCTATGGCCGAGAGATACCCAAAGCAAGTATACCTAGGGTGTTTCTTAAGCTCGAAGACTAACTTGCAAAGGTCGACACAAGGGGCGATGCCTAAATACCTACAAGCAATGAAGAAGTATACGACCATTCTCCAGGCGTTGGGCACTAATTGCTCGGGGCACATAGAGTGCTCGACCAACAATGCAGTGAAAAAAGGATCTAAAGGCCACCTAAACCCAGCTTTAAGGGTCTCCCTAAAAATGACGAACTCCCCTTGTCGAGCCCTTACCATCCTATCCTCTTGGTCTGGGCATCTAATGTCACAATTGGGCATTAGCCCATGTTCCCTCGCCGCAGCTATTGCTAGGTGCTCCTTCAAGGTGCAAGCCTCATCAGGGTACTCCAAGACAACATCGCTCAGGGTCCTAGGTCTGGCGTCGATGGGAATAGCTAACGGTATTAACACCCTTCGTGAGCCCTCATTACCCCCCCCCCCCCCCCCAGAG